AATTTTACCAAAATAATCGTCAAATTGATGGGCAAAAAATCATTTGATCTATTTATTGACAAAATAATTGTCTGATTAACTGGTTGTAAAAATAATTATCAGATGAATCGACTGTGAAAATAATGATCCAATTAACAGATTGGCAGTGTTTGGCAGATGAATTGATTGTCAAAAATAGCTGCCACAATAATATATTGTCATAATAACGACACGTTAACCAATATATGTCGATTAGATTAATTGATTGCTGAAGTAGTTGCTAGTCGTAGCTCTAGATGAAATATGAATGTCCTCTGCTATTGAATTAATATTTCTGCTCCATAAAAAAGACTCTTTGTATTAACATGGCTCTCCACAATCTACGTAGAGCTCGACTTGAATGGACACTTAATTGATGCACTATACACTCCTCCACATCAAATATTTCACTTCCTGTTTTAATGAGATTTTTAATTAGCATGTTAATTGTCTAATGAGTGTGTGGCAAGATAGCTGCTAATGGGAGTGGAAAAACGCAGACGTGATGGTGCAGTAATACATCTGGACTGTGTTGAGTCCATACAGATGAGCCACTTGCTAGTCATTATTCTTCTCTTATTCATTTGTACAAAATGTTAAGATGAAGGATACATCAATAAATATTAGTCAACATTCACTTTTAAAAAAACAATAATATGATGAAAATACATATAATTCTGTTTTAGAAATGCCATGTGGAGTCTGGTTTGAGGTTAGCATCTTGAGCTAAAGCACAAAATAGTGGAAAAATGTCAACTCTGTTGTCAACTGTGTAACGGGTTTAGAAAGTTTAACAATGAATTAATCAACAATTGATAACAATTAAATAGTCTGTCACGTTTCAGCATTTTGCATTATTTTACATTAATAATGGATTCAGTTTACATTAATGCTTCTGGACTGTGTTGAGTCCATACAGATGAGCCACTCACACGCGCAAACACACTAGTTATTATTCCTCCCTCATTAATTCGAACAAACTATTTAAGATACTCAATCAGTAGATTGGTCATTTGTGAATGGTTACTGGTTTGAGATTAGCATCATGAGCTAAAGTACAAAATGGTGAAACAAAATGCCAACACTGTCAAATCTGTTAGTCAACTTTGTCACCATCCAATTGTTACTGTCAACTCTGTTGTCTGTACTGTCGGCTCTGTTACTGTCAGGACTGTTAACTTCAACTCTGTCACTGTCAACTCTGTCACTGTCAATTTTGTTAAATCAACTCTGTTACTGTCAACTATGTTACTGTCAACTCTGTTACTGTCAACCCTGTTACTGTCAACATTGTCACCGTCAACTCAGTTACCTTCAACTTTGCCACTATCAATTCTCTCAAAGCTCTGTTACTGTCAACTGTGTTAGGTTAACTCTTTTTCGTCAACTCAGTTACCTTCAACTTTGTCACCGTTAACTGTGTTCCCATCGACTCTGGTACGTCAACTCTGTCACCGTCAACTCAGTTACCTTCAACTCTGTCACCATCAATTTTGTCACTGTCAACTCTGTAATGTCGGTTCTTTGACCGTCAGCTCTGTTACCGTCAACCGTGTTATGTCAACTCTAACTCTAACTCAACTCCGTTACATCAACTCAGTTACACTCAACTCTGTAACGTCAACACTGTAACGCCAACTCTGTTACGCCAACTCTGTTACGTCAACTCTGTAACGCCAACTCTGTAATGCCAACTCTGTTACATCAACTCTGTAACGGCAACTCTGTAACGCCAACTCTGTTACGTCAACTCTGTAACGGCAACTCTGTAATGCCCACTCTGTTACGTCAACTCTGTTACGGCAACTCTGCAATGCCAACTCTGTTACGTCAACTCTGTAACGGCAACTCTGTTACGTCAACTCTGTAACGGCAACTCTGTTACGGCAACTCTGCAATGCCAACTCTGTTACGTCAACTCTGTAACGGCAACTCTGTTACGTCAACTCTGTAACGCCAACTCTGTTACGTCAACTCTGTAACGGCAACTCTGTAACGCCCACTCTGTTACGTCAACTCTGTTACGGCAACTCTGCAATGCCAACTCTGTTACGTCAACTCTGTAACGGCAACTCTGTTACATCAACTCTGTAACGGCAACTCTGTAATGCCAACTCTGTAACGGCAACTCTGCAATGCCAACTCTGTAACGGCAACTCTGTTACGGCAACTCTGTTACGTCAACTCTTTAACGGTAACTCTGTAATGCCAACACTGTTACGTCAACTCTGTGACGGCAACTCTGTAACGTCAACTCTGTAACGTCAACTCTGTTACGGCAACTCTGCAATGCCAACTCTGTTACGTCAACTCTGTAACGGCAACTCTGTTACATCAACTCTGTAACGGCAACTCTGTAATGCCAACTCTGTAACGGCAACTCTGCAATGCCAACTCTGTAACGGCAACTCTGTTACGGCAACTCTGTTACGTCAACTCTTTAACGGTAACTCTGTAATGCCAACACTGTTACGTCAACTCTGTGACGGCAACTCTGTAACGTCAACTCTGTAACGCAAACTCTGTAATGCTTACTCTGTAACGTCAACCATGTAACACCAACTCTGTAACGCCAACTCTGTTACATCAACTCTGTAACGCCAACGCTGTTACATCAACTCTGTAACGTCAACTCTGTTATGTCAACTCTGTAACGCCAACTCTGTTATGTCAACTCTGTTACGTCAACTCTGTAACGTCAACTCTGTTACGTCAACTCTGTTACGGCAACTCTGTTACGTCAACTCTGTTACGTCAACTCTGTTACGGCAACTCTGTTACGTCAACTCTGTAACACCAACTCTGTTACGTCAACTCTGTTACGTCAACTCTGTAACGTCAACTCTGTAACGTCAACTCTGTAATGGCAACTCTGCAATGCCAACTCTGTTACGTCAACTCTATAACGGCAACTCTGTTACGTCAATTCTGTAACGGCAACTCTGTTACGGCAACTCTGTTACGTCAACTCTGTAACGGTAACTCTGTAATGCCAACACTGTTACGTCAACTCTGTGACGGCAACTCTGTAACGTCAACTCTGTAACGCAAACTCTGTAATGCTTACTCTGTAACGTCAACCATGTAACACCTACTCTGTAACGCCAACTCAGTTACGTCAACTCTGTAACGCCAACTCTGTTACATCAACTCTGTAACGCCAACTCTGTTACATCAACTCTGTAACGCCAACTCTGTAGCGTCAACTCTGTAACGTCAACTCTGTAACGAAACCTCTGTTAAGTCAACTCTGTTACGTCCACTCTGTAACGCCAACTCTGCAACGTCAACTCTGTCACATCAACTCTGTCACTTCAACGCAAACTCTGTAATGCTTACTCTGTAACGTCAACCATGTAACACCAACTCTGTAACGCCAACTCAGTTATGTCAACTCTGTAACGCCAACTCTGTTACATCAACTCTGTAACGCCAACTCTGTTACATCAACTCTGTAACGTCAACTCTGTAACGCCAACTCTGTTACGTCAACTCTGTTACGTCAACTCTGTAACCTCTGTTACGTCTGTTACGTCAACTCTGTAACGCCAACTCTGTTACGTCAACTCTGTAACGCCAACTCTGCAACGTCAACTCTGTCACATCAACTCTGTCACTTCAACTCTGTAATGTCAATTCTGCTACTGTCAGCTCTGTTACCGTCAACCGTGTTGTCAACTCTATTATGTAAACTCTCTTATGTCAAATCAGTTACCTTCAACTTTGTCACTGTCAGCTCTGTTATTGACAACTGTTACCGTCCACTTTATTATGTCAACTTCATTACACCAACAGTGCTACTGTGATATTTCACTGAAATTCTCATTCACTTTTAAATACAATATGATAAAAATGCATAAAATTGTGTTTTAGACATGCCATGTGGTGTTTGATTTGAGGTTAGCATCTTGAGCTACAGCACTAAATGGTGGAAAATGTCAAACTCTGTTAAAAACAGCAACAGACACACACACACGTATGTATATTCAGTTTACATGAATCCGCCTGGACTGTCTCTCTCTCTTTCACACACACACACACACACACACACACACACACACACACACTAGTCGTCACCTTGCAGAACGACGCAAGCAGCCTGTGCTTTATGGCTTGTCACACATTTATATGGTGCGTGATGGAGGTTTGACCTTCAGACCCAGACGCTCTGCTTGTGATTGATGAGAAGGGCTCTGTCCTCATGTGATGTTTCTGCTGTTCACAGTCAGATCTACTGCATTGAGAACGCTCACGGGCAGCTCGTGCGGGACCTCGACTTCAACCCCAACAAGCAGTATTACCTGGCCAGCTGTGGAGACGACTGTAAAGTCAAGTTCTGGGACGTGCGTCACATCAGCGAGCCGGTCAAGTGTCTGGAGGAGCACTCGCACTGGTTAGACGCACTTAATACAGTTTGTTTGTGAAGCAACTACAGTTTTGTGAAACACCCCTCACTGCATCGTTCTTTTCCCAAACGATGCATTGTACTATGTGTGTGTGTGTGTGTGTGTGTGTGTGTGT